TAAGCAATTAAGAAAACAAAAATTAAAATTATGTTATACCTGTTTGATTTTATCTATAAGATCACGTGCGCGTTTTTTGACGATTCTATAAGCATCTCTATCGAAGAGAGTTAGAGTGATTGTTCCAGAATCATCTTGCACACGAATAGGTATTTTATACCTATAAAAAATTCTCAGATAAATAAACATTAAATATGTTTAATGGTTAATAATGTAGTTAAGTTGTTCTGTTGATATTTTCTTAAATGTAAAAAAACCTTGGAACAGAAGAGATCGTCTTATTTTTACAATTATCACCATTGCATTTTAAAACGACACTTGCATCACCACTATCTGCACCACTGAACAAATCTTCGGTTTGAACTTTCTTTCCACAGTTTGTACACGCATCATAATACCAATCAATATCTTGGCGAATACCATAAATGGTCCCGACAATGATATATTGGCCGACCTAAAATAAAATCAAAACGATCATAAAAAACATTATAATTTTATTATCTGTTAAATAGAAAACAATATGACATCAATACAGATAAAATATTCACATACCTCTTGTGGTTCTATCAAATCGACAACATTTTTAACTTTGTAGTTATTCAAAAAAAGTCATCAGATTCCGAATATGATTTAGAGCTTTCAACAGTCAAAGAAGCAGAAGGGTTTTGAAGTCCTCGTAATCCAACCAAGCTGTTTTTAATTTAGGAGTTCGAAAATAAAATTATAAAATTATTGAACACAAACAACAAAACGATGAATTATTAAAATGTACAGTTACCTATCTGTGAATGTAACAATTTCGGGAAGATTAGCATTTATGAACATCCGTGTTTGTTCAAAATAACTGTTCACAGAAGGTGTTGCTGATGAAACAAAATAAAATAGTAAATAGAATGAGTAATATAAAAGACTAAAATAAGGTTGATTGGTATAAAAAATTTACCGTTATAGACATTAATTCTTGCAAATTGCAAAAGGATAATCACACGACCAACTTCTTTATGAGCTTCAAGATAAGAAATTAACTGGTATGCAATATCTCCAAACAACGTAACATTAACCTGCAAACCTCTGCAAAAATAATAATGGTTAAATAAATATATAATACTAAAATTCTACATGCAAGTTGTAAAGTAATGAATGTAATATATAAGATATAAGATATAAGATATAATATAAAAAACAATTTGGTTACTCTAAGTTTCTTATTTGTAAAGGCAGCCTATGTAGAGATTTGCTGACATCACGGGAATCAAGCTTTCCTAATGAAACAACTTCACCAATAATATCTACAAAATGATAATACAGAATGTCAAAATGATGTGAATTTAAAGAATTAAATATAATATACAATCAATAAGGAGGGAAATTACTAATTGATTCATTAGATGTAGCTGTTGCAGAGATAATTGTTTCAAAAGAAACAAAAGAAAATCCATATTTTGTTTTGGATTGAAAGTGTAGACACTCGTTAACAGTTGTTCTTCCATGGAAATTTAACTTGGAGGTTACATCACTTATTTTAAAAGTGTATTTGTTAGGAGCGATAGTGGGGGACCGGATGTAAACAGCTTGATCTTCTTTCAATTTGGACTCAAACCTTTGAAAATCTCTTGGATACACACTTGCTCGGATTTTTGTACACTATTCACATAGGGTAAGAATATTATATAATGTTAAAAACGGAATTTTTAATAAATATAAATTGGTCAACATTGAAGATAACATCTTCAATGATTGAGTTTGAATAATATTATTGGAATGATCAAATAAAAAAATGGTTTTGAATAATGCTATTAAAATAGTAGATTTTACCATTTCATCCATGAGTATCATCTCAATTGATCTGACAATAGTGGGGTTGTCATCTGAAAGCGATTTCCACAGCCGGATGATAGACACTTTTAGTGTGTAATCATCTTTCATATTGTCCAAGTCTCTAATGAAAGTGATCTTTCTTTCTGCCATTGTCACTATAACAGAAAAGTACACAAAATAATTACAATTATGTGTATGGAGTACTAATAATATATGAACAAACTGAATAATACAAAAAAATATCGATGTAAATTTGACAGAAAATAAAAGTTAAATGCTATAAACAGCCATAAAACAGAAAGTGCAAAGTGTGATTCAAAATTTATATAGCTGTTTTATAGAAATTTGACAGAAAAAGAAATGCTAACTGTTTTGTTATAATTACTTGTTTGAAAGAAGCATGTTATAACAGGTAAATAACTAAAAACTAAAATTCTATATTATGGTAGACAAAGGGTGTTAATGGAATTGTAAGTAAAATTTACTGTCGTTAATGCTTGCTGCCATAATTACTTGTTTGAAAGAAGCATGTTATAATAGGTAAATAAGTGAAAACTAAAATAACGAAAATTGATCTTGATCTTGATACCAAGGGTAAATACGGAATTTTACAAATGTATAACAACAAATTGAGTATACAAACATAGCCAAAAAATGCAGAAAATCGAAATTGAATATAGAACAACAAAGATAAATTTGGACTTTACGATTAAAAAGCCGTATAATATGATCAAATATAAATAAAGGGTAAAAAGGGTATTTTAGCAATATAAAAGTAAGTATCAACAGCAGCAAAGGACATTGAGAAACAGGGCTTACATAAAATAAAAATTAAATTCAAAAAATTGTAGGCCGTGGTAGGGGTATATTAGTCCAATTTGCTCTTCTTCACAGTTAAAGAATGCAGAAAATCAAAATTGGAACTACAAAGATAATAGCAATCCATTCAAACAGTACATGTCATTAATGTCTGTGATGATTAACACAGACATACGTAACAAAAGCTTATTTTTACACAAATAAGATGCTAAATTTGACTAAAAACAAAAGTTAAATGCTATAAACAGCCATAAAACAGAAAGTGCAAAGTGTGATTCAAAATTTATATAGCTATTTTATAGAAATTTGACAGAAAAAGAAATTTATATAGCTGTGTGATTCACATACACATTGATGATCAATTTAGTGGATCGAATAAAGAATTTAAGATAGAAAATAATTAATAAACAACTTTTGAATCAAAGATAAATAGAAACCTTGATTAACAAATTCAATGAGAAGCAAAATTGAAGTCGCAGAAGAACAGAATTTTCAATTATACGATTAACACAAACATTGAGAAGCAATCATACTTAATCATGAGAAACTCACCGAAAGATTGAAGTTGTTGATTGAATATTCGAAATTAAGAAGCAGAATTGAGATGCAGAGACTGTCCTAGAGATTGAATTATGTAATTGAAGCGGAATATGATTGATATAGTATGTTATGCGCATAATAATTGATTGATATGCATACCATTTTTAGATGCTCTTAATTGGGCATGTAACAGAATTGATTTAATGTATACAGCAGTTATTCCATATTCAAATTTCAAATTACAAAATATCGATATTTCCAGATTCAATGTTCCAGAGATTTCGATACAATATCATTATTTCCATCCATATTCAATATGTAACGCTACGTGAAATTCCATATTCCATATATTCCATATATAATCTAATCTAATTCAATTCCATACCTAATTACCTATTTTATCTATTACCTAATTACCTAATGATACGTGAAAGGATGTTGAAGGGGTAATAGAGTAATTTAACATAGGGCGAAAAATGGATGATTGTAATGACACGTGTCCAGATGGTTTTGTTTATTAAATAGGGAGATATGATAAAAAATAAAAAAATAAAATAAATAAATAAATAAATAAATAAAAGGAGACTGAACTTGAAGAATCCAAAGAATATTGGAACCGAATATTATTTCGAGATTAAATCATGAAGTCAGCGCAAATCCTCTTCCGGCTACAATTTTCTACTTCCTTTCGTTTCTTGATCAACTGTATATATATTATGTATAAAATACTATATTACTACTTCTCTAGGAAAATCCAGATACTCACATAACGTGCTACATTCCCCAAGGAGCGGCGGAGGAATTAAGAAATGGTAGGTGGAAACTGGTGGTGCTTCGGTGATCGGAGGAGCTCCGGTGAGGATGTGTCTGATCTTGACCCGATACTTCTTGTGAGTGGTGTTGGTGGGAGTATTCTGAATTCGAAGCCAAAGGGCTGGTTCGGGCTTACGACCCGTGTTTGGGTCCGTATTCTTCTTGCTGATATGGAGTTCCGAAAGAGAGTCTGGTCCCTCTACAATCCCGATACTGGTTCATTCTCTTTCTCGCTAAAATCTTAGTTGTTTATGGTCTTTAATTGTTAAACATTTCATAAATGCTGCTAATATTCTAATTGGTTTGAAACCAAAAAATTATAAGCTTCTAATTACACGCCAATTTTCTGTATTTTTATGAATCAATCTGATTTTTTTCTGTTAATGAAATGGAATCGAATTTAAAATGCTGCTGTCATGTCTTTACACCGGCAGAAGTTTTTGGATCTTTGGAGAATTGAAGTGTTGTGAGGATTATTTATTTGTAATGGAAAATGGTAGGCAAGTGAATTATTAATTATCTGATTAGCAATAGTTGGTTTGGTTGTATTCATCAAATTAATTTAAGCTGCTTCAACCTTGATGGCCTACCGTTAAAAAAAAAGTGGAGGGGGGGGGGGGGGGGGGGGGGGGGGGGTTTGCTTTATGATAGACTTTATAAGCACTTTATTTGGACAACTGGCGGCGTATTTTTTTTTGTCTTAATCTGGATAGAATGACTTAATGGATTAAGTCAAAAGTAACTTGGCTTAACGTATTAAGACACTGACCAATTTACCTATTTTCCCTTCTTTTTTGCTCCCAACTCCTCTCATCAAGATTGATGAATATTGTTATAATTAATAAATACCGTGAAATCTGCCTTAAGAAATCTTACGATGAAATAGTCATTTAGTATCATTGGCTTAGAAGAAAAAACATACTTTCTGTATGCGACACTTTCTCCCGCCAGGCTTCTTTTCCTGTTCAGTCACTTTACTCATTCAGAACTTAATAAAATAAATAAATAAATAAAACATCCCTTTGTTAACATGATAGAAGTTGATGTGTCTTTGGATTTTCAGGGTACACAGAAGAACTGGATGATAGTTCTGATATTGTGGTTCCACAAGATGATTATGGGCTTTATGCTATCGATATTTTAGATCCCTCATTTGTAAGTTCAGTAGCATCATCTTTTCTGTTTTCGCCATATTAGAGATTTAAAAAAAAATCTATTATTTATTCTTTCATCTATCAAACGCAGACAAAAATTTATATATTATTTGTATATTCCGAGTTTTCAGTGGATAAAATTGTTACAAGTGACGGATGTATACCATTTTCATGACATGATCGACATGCTTATTAAGTGTGGATACAAGAAAGGAACCACATTGTTTGGATATGGATATGACTTCCGCCAAAGCAATAGGTAGAGATAACTTTAGTGTTTGGTGATTAAGGGGTTTGTTTGGACATTAAAAGAAAATAAAAATGTCATGTATTACTGGCAGAATTGAGCAGGCCATGGATGGTCTCAAGGAAAAGCTGGAGGCTGCATATAAAGCTTCAGGGGGTAAAAAAGTCAACCTTATATCACACTCCATGGGTGGATTACTAGTATCATGTTTCATATCCCTTCATTCCGATGTATGAAAACACACCCAATGAACTTTTTATTTATTTTTTTCATTGTGCATGTATGTGATGAATTAATATAAACTTGGGTTATATATATAATATAGGCATTTTCCAAGTATGTGAAAAAATGGATAACCATTGCAACCCCTTTCCAAGGTGCACCCGGATATGTCAATGATTCTCTGTTAACCGGATTACAGTTTGTGGAGGGACTTGAAAGCTATTTCTTTGTGTCAAGGTGGTCAATGCATCAACTGGTATTTTTTTTTTTTATTTTGACATTCATCTCCTGGTTTAAAATATAATGACTTGAAACAAAAGATTCATTAGCTATAAAAATGAAGGCGATTCAGTTGTCTCCTTTTGTGCTTTTAGTTGGTGGAATGCCCATCAATCTATGAGATGCTGCCTAATCCTGAGTTCCAATGGAGAAAGCAACCTGAAATTTTCGTATGGAGAAACCGTTCAGAAAATGGACAAGATTCAGCCAAACTGGAAACTTATGACCCATCTGGTTGTGTGGGGCTGTTTGAAGAAGCATTGAAGGGCAATGAGGTAATTTATATTATATATGTCCCCAAAACAAGTCAACCTTTGACTTCTGAATGTGATCTGAGTGATTTGTGTAAACTTGACAGATAGAGTACAATAAGAAGACGATACCTTTGCCATTTAATTCTTCCATCTACAAATGGGCAGCCACTACACGCAAGATGCTAAACAGCGTGCAGCTTCCCGAAGGGATTGATTTTTATAACATTTATGGAACATCATTGGATACCCCTTTTGATGTTTGGTATGTGTTGCTACAATGTCTCACTTTTACATGTTTATTGCAACCGACACAAGTCATGCACCAAAATTTTAACCGATGAAAGAATTTACAGATCAATTGTTAAATATTTTGGTCTAGGAATGAAACGTGAAAAACTGCTCTGTTGCATAAATGCGGAAAATGAAATGCTTCTGTGTTGTGTTTTGTTTTGTGATTGAAAACTTGCTTGTGCTCAAACGAATACTATTTTGCAGTTATGGGTCGGAAACTGATCCAATCATCGACCCATCTGAGATATGCCACACATTAGTAAGTCATTCAAATCCTCCTCCTATTCCTATAAATAATTAGGATATATCTGACATATATCCTAATTATCCCCACATGCTTGCACTAGCAATAAATAAGAATGTGAGAACGAGGTCGAGCCTGGGGCAATTTTATCTTAACTTTTGTTTATTGTTCATTTTTTTTTTCTTTTTTGCAGCCTGAATACTCATGTGTGGATGGAGACGCAACAGTCCCCGCTGAGTCAGCAAGGGTACTCACTATTCCTACCTTATTTCATATGTAATGTGTGTGTATGTACATGATGTTTAACAAATTCAACCAAAAGATTGTGTCATATCCTGGAACTGAAAACACCATGTACATGTGTAGGCAGATGGATTTCCAGCAATAGAAAGGGTGGGAATACCCGGTGCTCATCGGGCATTATTAAGAGATGAAACCGTATTTGAATACATACGCAAGTGG